GAAGAATAACAAAGACAGGTGGTGTAACATCTGCAGGAGCATCAGTTTTCTGAAGCAGCTTTCACCTCTTAGGCTGCTCAGCTCCCTCCACATCACCCTGGCACATTCCAGTTTGCCATGGCACTTTTTTCTTCTCAGCTCAAAACAATCTGGGCTCAGACATCCCCAACTGGTTCAGATCAGTGATCCCTTTCACCACCCAAACCAGGGAGTTGAAGCATTTACATAGGTTTAGTCTCCTTCAGGTGATTCACTGAATGGCCTCGGGGTGGGCAGAGTTGAGAGCAACAGCAAGGGGTTTCTGACCTCTTGTCCTGACCCTGCAAGTTGCACCTGGGAAATGCTGAGAGTGTTTTGTTGTTGTTTCTCTCTGCCTGGAGGCTCCTGAGCCTCTGATTGGTGCAGGGAGGGCAAGCTGCCAACACCATTCATGTAACTAGCTTGGCTAAGCCCTAAAGAGCTCCTAAAACAGCAGGTTGTATTGCTCCTAATACCTTTATGTGTTCTCTTTGTTTCATGCATTATTTGTTCTCTTCCCTTTGCTGTGCTCAGTCCAGAAGGCCTGGGGTGAAAGCAGCACCCAACAGCAATGATGGGAGTGGGCCAACGCTGCTTCCAGCTCACTTGGTCCAAGGGCATATAATAAAGTTGTATCCCAGAGCCCATTAACCCATGGATGACTGCTAGTGAGAATCACCCCATGATGGTAAGCTGGCGTGGTCTTTATAGGCTGTTCTTTTGTATGTCTGTGTGTGCTTAATAAATTCAGGAGTCCGTAATTGCTACAATGAAAGCAAGCCAGCAATAATGGGATGCAATGTTTACACTTGCTTAACTACTTAATCTTATAATGGGGATTTTCTGTTCTCTCTGCTCTTGAACACTCCTGCTCCCTGACATTTCTTTTTACCCCTTTCTCTGGATTCTCTTATCTCTAGGCTGTGTTTTCCCTTTAGCACACTCCCCCATATACATACCCATGCTCAAGTTCCTGCCTGCGTTCCCCACCTATCTCCTTCACCTGACCCAGCTTTGTGCCATCTCCCACTTTGAGGGCCTGGGTCACGTTCCACACACTGCCTGCAATGACTGCCTGCATCCACCTACCCCAGTGCACTGGGACCAGGAAGGCCATTCAGAGCAGGAGGGATTACTGAATGAACAAAACCCACTGGCTTGGACACACGAGGGTTGTTGCAGGTTCAAAAGCCATATGTGAGTTCTGCTGACAGAATCTGGGCAGGAAATTTTAAAAATATGCCAACTTTCTTGTATGAATTCACCTCTCACAGCAGTGTATGCACAATTCATTCAGACATTATTTCATACTTTTGCCATTCTTTTTCCAATTTATTTGTACTACATTTTTATCTTTTCTTTCCTGGAGAGTTTGCTATCATTTCATCAGTGCAGAGGAAAAACAAAAAGAAAAAAAAAGAGAATTTGTTAAAAAGTAATGAAAAAGAGTCCTAATTCAATCTTTTGTCGGTATGATGATGACAGAAATTGTCATAACAACTCACAAGTCAGGAAGATCAGTTACTGCCATGGTCAGATTCTTCTGCCTTTTTAGAGCCTTATTTGTTTAATAAACACCTCTTTTTACAGCGTTAGGATCTTAGTATGAATTAGTTACTGCTAATAACTAAGCTAGTTGCTGCTAGTGTATTAGTTTCTGCTTCCATAAGATCTAAAGATGCGTGCAGTCTAATTAGTAGCAAATTAAGCAAGGATTCATTCTTTGCCCATACATTTTTTGCAGCAATACAGATCTACTTATCTATTTACTACGGTGCTCTGCCAAAAAAAAAATACCGTCAACCCTTGGTGTACCTGTATGGAGAAGCAGCATCTGTATCTGAAACAGCCTGAGAAGACCAGTAGCAAAATGCTTGCAAGTGGGACAGGGCTTTGTACCAGTGAAGCCTCAAGAGGTCTAAACAGGATTAGTCACTGCAAAGGTATTTTTTAACAGATGAAGTGATAACTCCAGCTGCATACTGCTTCCATGACTATGTCTTGTGTGACTAATTGGTGAAGGTAGAAAGTTATGCCACAAGAATAATTAGCACGCGCTGCCTCATTTTTTAGTTTATTTTTTCTTTTGTGGATGATGTCTGGGACATCAGAAGAAGGCTTGGAAAATAAAGCTGCAGATCCCAAGCAAACAGCTTAGCTTATCCTGCCAGAAGGATGCCAGAGCATTCAGATGTCCCTGGGTCTCACTCAGAGGACAGATGTGATACCTACTGTTAACCTTCTGTGTTTTGGACAAGTCAGCTCTTGCCTCAGTTTCTCTATTTGTAAAACAGTGCTAATTATATGTTTATTCTCTTTGTCCAAATGCTTTGAAGACTACTCATGGTAAATGTTACCTATAGGGCTGGTGATGGTTATTATAATGAAATTGCAATCAAATTGTATATGATATTTGTATGTGCACTATGATTAAATTATAATTAAAGCTGCCACTTAAATTTAATTTTTGCCTGACTTGACACAATATACACAACATATCCCAAAGAGGGAGAAGATCCCAAGTTCTTTTAGTACAGACCAAAATTGCCCTTTATTTTAAACTGGAGTTTTAATGTAAGCAAGCCAACAAAGGAAAGCCTAAATTAAAGAAGGGTATCAAGGGATTCAGGAACTGTTAGCATTCCATTGAGTATCTAAGTTGCTTAAGCAGAGGTGCTTTTCAACACTGCGTTGATGAACACATAAAAGTAGGAGAAAGAGAGCTCAGTCTTCTGCATCAAAAGGGAAGTTCCAAGATATAGTTTTTGTCCATATTTTTGGTCAAAGCTCTGCATCTCTAATTCATAACTCAGATGGATATGTTGACTTTTTCAAAACTGGCAAAAGTCTTGATTCCACTTTAACTTAAGTGTCTATTGGCTGCCATTCAAGAGGAACTTTACTCCTTCCCACTGGTTTGCAGAAAAATAATAATTCAAGTTTTGCATTAATTTGAAAGCTCTCTCCTAAAATTCTGACTTCCAGTAGCTGTTCAACTGAATAAAAAATATTAAATGTAAACCAGGTAGATTTATATGTGGCTCAAATTCTCCAGGAGTGTGAAGTCCAAAAACAGAAAAACATTAATATAATGCAACCACTGTCAGATGCAGGACATAGTTCTCTAACTGAAGATGGAATAAATTGCTTTTTCAATTTACCAACACATCAGTTGTCTTTGTTTCAGAGGCTACGTGACATTTAATGAGTTTGTCTTCTTAATGGGCACTGGACGCATTAGAGAACTAGGGTTAGAGCCAGAAGAGCATTTAGGTGCTTAATACATAATTCCCATTAATTTCAGTAAAAGTAAGGTACAAAAATATCTCTGTGGATAGGTCTGTTTACATTTAGTGGCTTTACATGTTAGAGGAACTGGCTGTCTAGAGAAGTGGTGGAGCCACCGTCCCTGTAGGCGTTCAAGAACCATGGAGATGTGGCACTGTGGGACGTGGTCAGTGGGCATAACAAAAAGGGGTAATGGTTGGACTAAATGAACTTAAAGGTCTTTTCCAACCTTAATGATCTTAATGATTGTACGACTGATTCTATGAAAATTTGACTGTGTACTTGAAGTGCTTGATTCAACTTTTGTTTCATTGCTTGAGCATATTCACCAAATTCCCTGCTGTCCTTTCAGACCTCCTACTGCTCAGCCTCCTCCCAAGCCTTTGAAGAGCAGGGATGAGGACTGGGGTCAATAGGCTATAGATCATGGAACTCCCTTCTCAAAAAGACACCATCCATCCATCACCCAGCAGCATGTCATCCTTGCTGCCAGACCATACTAAGGTATCTCTCCAACCTGCAAGTCCAGGATGCTTGTGGAAAATGGAAACAGTGGACAAGAGGAGGATGACAACACTCAGATCTTGCTTTGACAAGACCATGGCTTATATTACATCTCACCCAAATCCTAGGGCTGAACCCATCCCTCCTGTTGAATGTCTCCTAACAAAATTGAGTAGAAGGCACAGCACAAAGAGTTCTGCCAAACTTGGTTGTAGCACTTGGGAGCTATTTGTAACTGAGTTGGTGTGTTTAGAAAGCCGGCCTCTGCTCGCCTGCCTTCAGAAGCCCCTCATTCTGCACACAAGTGGTGCTGGGAGACCACACCAGTTCTTCTGCATCCCTGATGATGGCAACGTGGTTCCCACAGTCACAGCCCAAACGTCATTCCTGCTTCAGCAGAAACTCTTGACATGTTTATCTCTTTGCACTGAGCCAGCTATCAACATGGCTCTGCTCTATGGCTACTGTGATTAGATTAATTACTGTTTTGTGGAAACTACGCCTGGCGCACACTTCTGGCTCAATAACTGGAGGAAAACGAAGGCTTTATTTAGGTTATCTGCTGTGAGGAGATAAAGTGCTCTGTGCATTTCTTGCTTAGACATGAAAACTTTGCCACCATCTGTGCGTTATGACAACTGTTCTGTGATGATGAATGTGAACTGGAGGCCCAAATCGAAACTGGAGCTCTCTGTTGGTGGATGCTGCAGAGGAGATAGGCTCTGCCACTTCTAAATCAGCAGGAGGGTCATCAGGAGAAAGGGAAGGCTGCCGCTGCAGAGGACCTCAACTCACTGGAAATAGGGAACCTGAATATTTGAGTAGAAATGGAGTCCATGGGACATGCTAAAGATCGCACACGGAACCTGGCATACAGTTAGGAACTGAAGGAAGTTCCCAAATAGTCAGTCCATGCTTGCACTACGAGGAAACTGATACTATTCTTTATTGTGCCTTGAGAACAGTTGCGTGTTTGCCCAAGAAAGAAAGGCGGAAGGCTCCAACTGGCATAACTTGATTCTTGCTGATTTTGCTCTGTGAGAATTTGCCCTCTAGGACCTATAAGATTCTTTCTTTCTTTTTTCTTATCTCTGCGGTATCTTGGCAGCCATTAAGCCTGAGTAAGCATTTCCCAGTTGTAATTTACAGAAATAAAGGTAATTATTTTTGACTTGAGTTGCTTTTGTCAGCAACAGGTGCTGCTGGAGTATTTCACAATGGTGTATCTGGGAGAGTTGTGACTGGGGAGAAGGCAAGGAGATTCATTGGAGACCTGAAGACCCCAAGGCTGAAAGAGAAGTTTTTAAAGAAGGTGCAAACAAGATTTTCTCCGTAGGGAAGGAACATGATCATGTACTGTGTCAAGGTACTGTGGGCAACAGTTCATAAAGGTACTTCATTCTGTCAAAACCCAATTTATTTAGTTGAAACCAAGTTGGTGGGAAACATGGTGTTAGATCTGAGCCTCTCTTTATTTTTTTGTACATCTCCAAGTGAGCCCTTCGTGGTGCTGCTAGGCTAATAGGGATGAATACTTTCAAGGCTCATGCATACATCATGTGCACTTTAAAATGAAGACAAGTTTTGAAAGAACTAGGAGAAATCAGGATTTAGCACGCCAGATAAAGGTGGAAGCTGCTTTAATTATAGATTCAGTCCACATTGCATTAAGGATTACTCAATAATGAGATAGCCACTCAGTCCTCATATAACCTCATTAAAGACTGATACGTTTGTCTTTTAAACATTTTGTCTTCACTGTGCCAGATCTTAAATGGCTCCCTCCCGGTAATGCAGCAGTACCTATTCAGCAGACCTAGCTTTTTTTAGGTTATTGAAGACGCATAAAAAAATGAATCTGCAGTGTTTCAAAACTGAAGGCTTAGCCTCTCACAGGATCTGTGGGGCAGCTGCTGGACTTCTAAAGGTTAAATTCTGCAAGCAAATCTCATTATGTTTTTAGCAACATCATCCAAGTCTGGCTGGCTCAGTTACTCACCTGAGGAGTGCTGCATTGGCATGGCCATGTCTGCATTTCCATTTGTGATTGCTTTCCCTGGATCTCTCTAGATCTACAGAATCTTTCCTGGCAGCTGTGAAAGGATTGCTGTGAATGTGAACTCACTGGGATGCTAGGAAAATCTCCAGAGGTTGGAGAAAGGCTGGAGACCCACCATCAGCAACACTGAGTGTTTCTGGCAAGCTCTGTCTCATCTTGAAATGAGCTAAGATATTTTCTTATAGCCTACACCACTAATATATTGTAGCTGGAGTCAGTGCCGTCTTTTCCACAGATTACTCCTGTGCCTCTAGACAAGTAGCTTATCTTTTTCTTGTTCCATTCTCCTATAAAATAAGAATACCAGTAATATTTTCCTATGGTTTGTCTCCATTCAAAGTTGAGGAAAGTTGAGAGCATCTCGATTGGAGCTGATGTAATTGCAAGGATGTAAAGAGGAGAGATAGACAGTGATTGTTTACAGGTCTATTTAGAGGTAAGGCTGTACCTCACTGCATGACTTGTATACTTGTCATGGGATGTCATGGTTTCAGCTGGGTCATTAGATGATCCTATCCGACCACTAATAAACACCATGTTCATTGTTGTCTAAACAGGCCGTTCAAAGCTTCTAACAGCAGAATATTTTCACCCCGATAGTCTCAAAGCATTCTCAGAGCAGTCCTCTGATTTCTGCTTTAAAAATCTGTGCTTTTCACTGGTCTGGTGGAAATAAAACACCCCTCCCCCTTGTCTCTCAGAGTAGAGAACTAAGGGAAAAAAAAAAAAAACAAACATTTCTATGTCTCTGCATTCCTGCCAAAGCGGTTATCAGAATCTTTAACATTTACGGTACTCTGAAGTGAATCACCAGCCTACATCTCATCTGAGCATCTATTTTTTCACCATAATCTGCTTTTAGAAGGGCTTTTAACTGCATCAGACTTTTCTCTTCCATTAAAATGCTGTCTGGATGATTGGAAAATAGAATAGCCTGTCCTCATTGCTTAGTTTCCATAGTGAATGTCTGGAGCAAAGGTCTGTGGGATTATTCAATTACTGCAATAATGGCCTTTGACCTGGTAAAACAATCCAAAAGGCAGAATTCATCTATTGGATTATTTTGAACATTAATCATATTCTGTTTAGAAATCACAGAGTTCAAGACAGACTGCAAACTATTTGTGTGCACTGTACAGAAATGACTTACATTTTTATGAACATAATTACACAAATGATATCTTCTGAGATTTTTTTCCCCTTTTGTACTTCACAAACTGTGTTTTGGACTGCAAAGCCTCCCATCTTAGCTGCATGTTACCAGCACTAACCACACTGACCAGTGTGATAAGTGCTCTGTGCTGATACTAAACTGCTGATAAAAAATGTTCTGGATCCTGAATCCGCAGAAGTGTAGGAGAACAACAACACCTTTTGCTCAAAGCTGAACTGCTTGCTTCATGAATCAAATGAAGAGCGAACAGCCTCCAACGTCTGTCTTGTCATTACCATGTGCCCAGGAAGGATATGGGAATGGTACAGGGGGCTGTGGGGCCCTGTCAATTAAGCACTGTGGTCAATCATGAGTAGGTTTTAAGTTCCAATGCCAAATGAAAAATGTTCACTTTTCCTGCAAACTACTGTAGGGTCATATTCCCGCACTGAAATTTCTGGAGGCTTTTGTTGGCACTATGCTGTACCAGTAGCAAAGACGCATTAAAGAAAACAAACAAAGGTCTGGAAAAGGGATTCATGCAGCAGCAATACTGGCAGCCCGTGGCTTCCCACCCAGCTGTTTTAGAAACTTCAAAACACATCTGCTGGTAAGCCAGGGGGCTCTAACAAAAATGAATACCCGGTATGAAGAGCATGGTGACCTGCTTCAAACACCTTCATCTCCTTGGGAAGGAGGATGAGTTGTTATTCCTTGCCCACAGGGGAAATGGCACCATGGACCCCAAATCCTCTGTTGGGGTCCATTCAAGTGACACAAAGACCTGAATGCCCACAGCAGGCTGACATCCTTTGTGAAGACTTCCAGTGTTGCTCGATGGGCTTGCTTGGCACCTCTTGCTGATGCTATCACCATGCGGCAGCATCTCCATTACTCAGAGGAGAGCAGTCCTGTAGGGCAGGTGGAAATGGAGAGAGGAGAGCATCCTCAGGGTAACCTTCCCTGTTATGTGTGTGACTGTGCCCTTATACCCAGGCCAAGTGAAAATGAGTAATTTCCCATCAGAGGAATACCTGGTTAATCACTGATGTCACTCTCACAGCAGGATATATGGCACTCATAGGTCAGGTGTAAATGGGCCAACAGAATAATCTGCTTTGCACTGGGTAAAATCAGAAATAATTCAGAGTGGATGATGTGGCTTTGCTGAACGGAAGGTGAGATGCCTGCAGCATGTCAGCTGATGGGGAGTGCAACCAAAGTTGTTGCTAAAAACCCATTTCTTCACACAGAGCCTTTTGGCTCGATGCTGCTGCCTCCTGTTTGGCCTCATATCCAGAGATGGAGGTCTATGTCCTGAGCTATGGATGAGCATTTTGGTCAGCCTGCTCCCACTCCTGAGCTTCTCCTTTCTGCACACTAAAACTGTGAGTGCTCAAAGGCAGAGTGTACATGTGTTTCTGTGTGTGCGCCTTATGCAGGAAGGTACATGAAGGTGTCCTAGGACATCTTTGGGGCAGAAGAGGCTCCAGCCTGTCTTATTCTTCTCCCTTCCCCCTCCCCAGAACTCAGCAGAACAGGAGGGGTGCAATGAAGCCCTAGAGCAGGTCCCAGTTCATGACACCAGTGGGAGCAGATGCACAAGAAAAGGGCAATGGCAGCAGCATTGCTTCCTGTCAGACAGGGACCGAGACTATTCTGTCCTTTGAGGGTCTGTCATTCACACCTCCAGCTCCCTAGGAGCACTGACCCCCAGAGCAATGGCCATTTTTATTAGAAGCGATGGTAACTCACTGATCATGGGTGACATTTCTTCATCTTAGGACTGGAATTTCCAGTGCTTTCTTCTGCAGCAATGATTTTGCAGTACCTTTACCCAACTGCCCAATACTACACTCAGTGCTTTTGGCCATCTAGCTGTTCTGGGCCACCCAGCTGCTTAGGGCCATCCAGATGTTTCAAGCAATCTGCAGGCAGCTGGAAGAAATCAGAGAGTTTAGGATTGGAGATGTGCAGACATTATAAAAAAGTCAAGCAAGCACACAGTAGCACAGGCTTCTCTAAAAGCAGCGAGAGCTAACACATCTCGCTGTGTAAGTGCTGCTTTTGAGAGGGCCCTAATTGGGAATTTTTATTCAGCATTGACTCTCTTTTATCAAATCCTTGTCTGCATGAAGTTCTCCTAGGTGCAGTAGAATGAGATTCATATTAGCACATTTCTGCTCTTCCAGGCATTTTCACATCACTTTCCCTCTGCAGATGAAATGCAATGCAGTAATAAGTGACATTTCTGTAGAATATGCTGCCTTCAGACACAAACTCCACTCCTAATTACTTCTCCCCATGGGGAAAATAACACAACTGAAGACATCCTGATAACAGCACCATGCCTTCAGTTGGCTGCTTTGATCCTGAAGCAGCTCACGGAATTCCAGAAAGTCTGATCCTGAAGCAATGACTTGTAGAAACTGGGCCCAGTATTTGCAGGATGATGATTATTATTTTTTTAATTAAAACAACTGTCATACATAGACAAAGCTGACAGCTTCTGACTGTCACATCTCCCATGATGTGTTTGCATGAAAATGGTGAGAGGCTATGAATAACATCCATGGATTAGCATACAGTCCAGGATTAATGCTTTTTCTGAGAGGTGGCAACCTGCTGTTGACTATGCAGAGAGGGCGAGTTGGGCAGATAGAGCCTAGGAATCACACACTCCACCAAGGGAGGCGGCCAGCATCATGTGGGTTTGGGCATGTGTCTCCTACATGCTCTCCAAGCAGCAGCTAGAGCTCAGTGCCTATAACTTCTTGTTTTCAGGGCACAAGCAGTCATGCATGAATGGAGAAAGAAATGCATGTGTGGAGGGATTCTCCTTTTCCTTTATTAATTGAGCTTAGAGGCAGGTGACACCAAGGAGGGGCTTTGCAGTCATATAACACAGACTTAGTGCTTGGGATATAGCCATGATAGCAGTTTTAGCTGTTGTAATTCAAGGAATTTATTTTAGCCTGGATTAGTCACAACCCTTACTGTGACACTGACCATATCTAACATTTATGAGTGAACTGCAAAGCACAGCAGTGTATTTTAAGAAAAAAAAAAAATGTTAGGTGCCTTGCTCTCCCTGTGTAGGATATAGAGAGAGACTTTGTGTGAAGAATTTACATCCTATAGAGCTCCAGTCCACCAACTGATTTGTGAAAGGATGAGCAGAGAGGCTGAGGTGTGGCACACAGACCTGTAAATTCTGGGAGCTCTCCTTGCTCTTACTCTGTGCTGGTGGAAGAAATGACTTCCAGTGCCCAGCTCTCAGCCAGATTTCTTTTTACATTGGCTTTAAACACCACCAGCAGGCCATTGCTTTGGTGGCTCTGGTAGCTGCAGTTTGGCTTCTTGAGCTGCCTGGCTCAGGGAATGGAAACCAGGAGAATACAAACAGAAAGGAAGGCATGATGGTATTCCTTATCAGCTGGAAGTGGGTGGTTCCATAGCATGCCTAGGAAAATCTTCTGAAAATCTGCTTTCATAAGCTCTCCAATCTGCTTTCCACTGCCTGGCTTGCAGTCACTTTGCTGGCTCTATAATGAGCTGTTGCAAGAGAGGCTCCTGTGAATCAGATGACTCTGTTGTCATCTGATGCTTATATTGGGCGTGCTGAGTCATGAGGCCGGGGATGCAGCGTGAGGAGGTAACCACACAGCTGGATGGCAGCCGGGCACAGGCTGGAAAGTGCAGGAGTTGAGTGGATGTGGTACAGAGATGCAGGGTCTTGACCCAGCCCTACTCCTAACGCAGCCCTTCTGTCTGTAGTGGGAATGTCTGCTGCTGACAGTACCTACAGCAAGCTGCTCCATGGATGTCACACACCCAGGTTCAGAGCAAGGTCGGACAGAGCGTCCCACAGAAGGCACTGCATTTTTCTTTAAAATAAACAAAACAAAACAAAAAGCCAAATTATGTTATTTTCCAAGCAGCGTTCCCTCTTAGCAGCCAGTCCCAGACCCCTCCCATTGGCTGCACGTTTGCCTCCTTGAACTACAGCTTCACCCCTACGATTCCTCCTTTTCTCCACCTTCCTGGTCCAGGACATCCCATGTCCTGTTTCCTTGTCTCCACATCCACGTACTGACTTGGTGATAACTGTGAGGTAACTTTCAGGATTCCTAAGGACAGCAGTCGTCACTGAAGAGCCTAAAGCAGTGGAGAAATGCCACAGCCTCTCTCAGAAAACCCCTATGCACTTGCTGTTAAGTAGTGCCCATGTTATTGGTTTTGCCCACCTCTCGTACTGAAACACAGAATCACAGAACCCTTAAGGTTGGAGAGGACCACTAAGATCATCCAGTCCAATCCCAACCCATTCCCACCATGCCCACTAACCGTGCCCCTCAGTGCCACATGTCCACGGTTCTTGAACACCTCCAGGGACAGTGACTCCCCCACCTCCCTGGGCAGCCTGTTCTGATGAATTAGCACACTTTCAGAGAAGGAATTTTTTCACATATCCAATTTGAACATCCCCTGGTGAAATCTCTTTGTGCTTTGGCTGCTCAGGGTTCAAAATGAAACTGTGCAGTCAGGCAGAGTGGAAAACAGCCACGTTATCACTTCATTTTCTATGAGGGTGGGGCAGCTTAGAAAAAGAAGCATTTCACTAATTTGTTTTGCATCACAGAATAGCTCAAAAGTCATCAAGCTGAAGCCAGGACAGAGTCCTGTAGCTCACTGACAGGCAATGTAATGATGTTGGCAATCTGATATCTCCAGTGAAATATTTTGCAGGTTGCCTCTTGCAGAACACTGTCAACTTTCAGTTTTTCTTCTCATTCTAAAATGCAAGGAGATCCCAGAGCATCTGGGAAAGCACAGGGAAAGCAATGACTTGGATGATTTAGCAGACAAATTGCTCACCCACAAGAAGGGGCACCCTGCTCCAGAAATCCATTTCCTTATTTTCTCTGCTGAATAATTAATGTAAAATACACAAAAAGGTTTGGCACCCACCTGCATAGGTGCCAATAGCCATTTTTGCTCTGGTGTCCTGGCTTGACCAGAGGTGAAGTTCTTCGCTGCACAGCAGACCACTTTTCAACAGGAGTAATGCCAGCAGCCTCTATTGAACTAACTAGTCAGCAAGCAGGGATTTGAATCCATTCATTCACCAAACCTTGGCACTTGTAAAGAAAAGATCTGAGGAGTTCTGCGAAAGACACTGTGTCTACAGGTGCCTTCAAAAAAGTGTCCTGGGTAATAGATCCCAGCTGGGGGGGGCTGGGGGGGGCTGGGGGGGGGCGGGGGGGGGGTGGGGGGGGAGTGGATCCCAGCTGGGTATTTGCATCTCCTTGCAATCCTGAAAAGGATACTGGTCTCACAGAGGGACAAGTTCTCGTGTATGTCCTATGCTGGATGGTAATATCCTTGTGGCAATGTCAGCCAGTGATGATCAATGCGAAGAAACCAATGTGCTTAATAGGATGCTGCAGATGGAAAGCAGAAGGGCAAAGTGTCGGTGGCCAGCAGCCTCTTGCTGGCTGCTGGAGAGACCTCTGTTCAGGCACACAGCATCTGCCCAAAAGGCTTGGCAATCCCTGCCAGGCATAGTGCTATGCTGAGCATAGGGCAAAGACACCCTCACTTCTCACAGATTAGAAGAGTATAAGTTCTTAGGGAGACAGAAAGTCCTTTGTTACCTTCTAGTGTACAGGAATTACTTCTCCTCTCCCTCCTCCAGCCACATATTTCAGTTACGTGACTGCTATTGTGTTTGGAATCACCACTTTGCACATACAGACAGAATGTTTTCCCAGGGAGATCAACACAAGAGCATCACATCTTATTTTTTTCTCTTTTCTCCAGAAGACAGCATTGAGCCAACCAAGGAGGAGAGCAGCCATCTCCGTGAGCCTTCCTGTCCATCTTGTGCCTGCAGCCCCAGGCTCTCAGTGCAGTGATGAGCAGTGGCCGCAGCGGATGCTGTATCTGTGTGCGTTGGCAGCACGGCTGCTCCTGGAGCCATAAATCCTTTGCTGCGGTGGCTGAGTCACTCTCATACTTTCCTTTCGCAGAGGTACAGCAAATAGGAGATAAATAAACACCAGCAGCCCTGCTGAAAGGTTCCCACCTTCCTGAGGATCAGGTTAAATGCTGCTGGGTGGCAGGATTGCCTTTTCTGTGTGTCTCCCTCCTTGTGACCAAGAGGGGCAAAAATCCTGTGGCCACAACCACTCTCCATCCAAGCAGGATCGGACAGCATGGGCACAACAAGGGTTGCAACACTGAAATGATCCCACAGCACATCTCTGCTATCTGGGTCTGATAACAGTCTCATGCACTGTCCCTCTTCTCACAGAGCTACTGTGCAGTAAGAAAGTGCTGGGGTTTTTGGAGAAGAAACATTACATGCAAGTTCATCTCCATAGGATAAGTAATTATAATGTTGTCTGCTGGTGCCTGTGGGGACAGCAGTGCATTTCTTGGCAGCTTTCATGTGTTGTTCAAGGCAGATTTCCTGCATAGATCCAGGCTCTGGCAGGCAGCCACAAGTGGGACGCAGATGAATGCGCCTGCTCAGGAAATGATAAAGGAACCAAGCAAATGCTTTTGTTTGTGAAGCAGCATCATCTGGAGAGCCGTCAGATCCTCTTCCAGAGGTGAGGCATGGAAATCACGAGCAGCTCCCAGCCTGTGCCACTCATCAGGTGCTGGCATGTGGAGCAATAGGCAAAGCTCCCAGCCCAGCTGGAGATCCCATCCCAGCTTGGATTTGGTGTCAGCCCAAATCAAATAGGAATTTTCACCACCATTTTGCTTGTTAGGACACTTTTCATCTAAGTGCTTCTTACCTCACATAAGGCAAGGGCTGAGCATAAAATGCAAATGCAGGACAATTCAAAGCCATCAGCTTTCCCTGCCTGGTCACAGGGGAGTTATCACAGCTGCATGAAATCTGCACTCACCAAGCCAGGGTGAGAGCAAGGGTATCTGCTGACACTCCAAAGGGTCTTAATGCACTGTCACCTCCTAAGTGGACCCCTTGGGCATCTCTGTGATGGGGAAGGGAGATGGCCAGGATTATCAACCACTTTTAATGAAACCATTTCTGTAAAAGGTTGGGTTTTTTTGTTGTTGTTTTTTTTGGGGTTTTTTTTTTTTTTTTGCACAAAGCCAACCTTAGGAGATCAAGGGAATGATCTTGGTATGGATGAGATGAGAGAAAGAGAGTGCAGCTGCCACAAAGGCTAACAGCATGGCAAGCATTACAAATCCACCTGCAGTTGACAGAGAAGATCTGTTAGCAGAGATGGGCTGGACAGTTTTCAGCAACGGGACAACACATGAGACCCTGAGATTAAAAGGTTTTTCACATGTGGGAGATGAGTTCACAGAAAAGAGTCACAGTGAGTTTCACAAAGCAGGCATCCTCCAAGCAGTGAGCCCTGCAGCTCTGGCTTTGCACAAAAAGAGAAGGCACCCACCAGGCAAAGCATTTTCCCAGGCATGTTAGATCCCAGTTAGTGGACAGCATTGATCTGACCACTCTCAGAGCAGAGATCTTTCTGCACTGATATTTTGTCTTCAACTGGGAAGAGACTGGAAAATAGATGTAGAGAAAACTGACAGGATTTTGATGGCCACGGACATTTCCCCAAGCTCACAGCACATCTTCATAGCCCAAGGAAAATAACAGTGTAAAATGTCTCCATGTAGAAGGGAAGAAATTTCTGTTATTGATTTTCTGGGACTGAAGCACCTGAGACAGAAGGAGAAAAATGAGTTGTGCTCGTAAGCGGACGAGTCAGTGTCAAATAAATTCTTATAAAGGTTTGGTATACTTGGGGGTGATAGATTTTACTCAGAAACATCCAGATACATTTTAAAGAACCTTGCAAAGTTTTTATTCCTAGAACACAAGCAAAGAGAGTCCTTCTGGATAAAACACTTACATCTGACTGGATCAAAAAGAGGGCTGAATTCATACGTGTTTTATGAGGAATATCTGTACTGCACTTCTGTGTTACTATAGTTTGATGATGGTCCAAAGGACTAAGCTGGCCCAGGTTGTCTCCATGCTTTAGGGCAGTGAAATCTTTTCTGCCTAAGCTTTGATCTCTGTCTGGAGGCTTATCAAGAGACCAAAACAGACAACAGAAAACTCCTGTAAAATGCATTCAGAGTACTAGAATTTTGGATTCTGCATATGCACAGCTCCAGCAGATGAGCAAATGACAGACATATTTAAAAAGAAGGGATGGAGCAGGAAGGAGGAAATTGAGCTGATCTTTTTTTATTTTATTTTCAGACATAATGTTTTAATATTTTGTCTCTAATTTTTCCATGCACAATTACAAGCTTTGCATGCCTGGAGGTACTGTAGGAACAGTTTCAGGCAACTTCTAAACTTGCTTCTGAATTATCTGTTCTGTTCTTGCAATATTGCTTAAAGCAGCAATACTACAGGATGACAGAAATGAATGACACTCATTTGGCTCCAGAGAACTTTGTTGCCTTACTTTCACATGGCATTTGTGCCAATAAAAGAGATCAAAGCAGCTCCCTAAGCAGATTTTTACCCTGGGGAAGTGGCTATCTGGATGTTACCAGCAGAGAAGACTGTATAACTCAGCAGATCCAAAATCACAAATGTCAGGTGGGAAGAGTTGCTGGAATTTGTCCATGACACAGATTAAAACACTTTATAGGCTAGAAAGTTAATTTAAAAAATCCTGGAAAATGCAGAGAGGCACAGATGGGACGAATAAGACAACAGGTAAATCAGGAGAGGTTGCAGCAAGCCTTCTTACAACATCTCAAATAACTGAGCTGGCCAGACCATGAATCCAAGTAAAATAGACCTAGCAAATATGAATAGATGCACTTCAGGAGGTCACTGATGAGAGAAGGCTGGAACAGGACTTGCTGGATCTTCTGCTGGGCATGGCAGTGTCAACGTTTCCCAGGACAACAGAGCTACCTGCTGGCCCCAATAGATGTTGGTGAAAAGAACCTCACACCAGCCATTTTCAGTATTTGCATGTGCAGTGGCAGCCCCATCTGACCACTAAATAGTCATTTAAAAGCACTGCTAAGGACTCTCACCATGAAAACAAGGAAGAAGTGAAGGAGGAGAGAGGAATCAGAGCTTTAAGAAGAAAAAAGATATTTGGCTTCTAGAGTGCAAATGCAGGGAGGAATGTTGGAATAGAGGCTGTCAGACAGTTGTGCAACTTGGGGAGTTACAGTGCAGAGTGACAGTGACATCCGGTCCCATGGAAATGAAGGAACTTCTCCCACTTAAGAAACATGCCATTGGAGAGCAGCTGGAGTGCTAGAGAAGGCACTGCAAGTCTCACACGGCCAGCCCGCCCCACTAAGAACAGATGCCATGGCCAACCAGCCTTCCTCCAGCTGTGTGTTTCAAAGGACTAACTGTGTTCACCATGTTTTCTCCACATCTTAGAGGATCAGGGAGGTATTTGACCCCGCTAACCTTTCAGTGGTATGAGAGTTGCCATGAAAGAGGACAGCTGGAGTTCCTTTCCCTGTATATACTATCAGTGACCAAAGTCATTCAAACACATTTGTGTTGAGATGCAGTGAGGGCTGACCCAGGCAAAACTTGAAAAAAAAATTGCTCAGGATACCTCCAAGAAGTAGATTTCCAGCCCAAACCCTTTGCTAGTACTTCTATTTTTGGCAAAACTGTAGCTTCATGTGCAGCTGCCCATTGATCAGCTGCAGGAGGGTATCAGGCAGATGAAGCTATTCCAGCTGGGCCATGCTCTGCTCTTGCCCTATCTTTGATTCCTGTGACGGCTGCCCTCCTTGAGCCATGCTGAGAGATGTGGTGCCCTCGGTGAGGTTATTAAATCATGCTAGGAGTGCCCTACCCATGACTTGAACTAGGTCATGGATGTTTGAGCTTTTGGTTTGCCTGGACTGTGCTGAGTGAAGAGGAATTGTCTTGGGTCACAAACACGTTATTGCACCGAAAGTAATGCTTCCTATTTATTTCCATGGAAATTATGGCAGATACAAAAGAGCACAATTACAATATATGTGTGATAGAGCAAATTCTCAGCCACAGAACACCATTTTTCAACGTAGTCACCACCATTAGGCATGCATTTTCGCCAGCAATGAACAAGAACCTACATGCTGTGCTCATAAAAATCTGCACCAGCGGAGGTGACTCACTGTCACCAGTGCTGAAATGCACCACCCACCACCTCACTGTGCTCACATCCACTATTTCATCTCCATGAATGTTCAGCAATCATCAAGGAATGTCAATAGGTGCCCTCTTTTCCACGCAAAGGGATTCAATGACACACCTTTGCTTCATACACACTTCTGTGTCAGATGCCATTTTGTCAGACTGCCCCTCTGCTGCCATCTGTCAGCAAAATGTAGAGGGATGTTGGTGGGAAGGTTCGACCTATACTGCCATACCACCTGATGTTGTGGATCAAGATAATAAAATAGGAGGCATTGCTTGTGGAATAGCCCTTGCAAAATATGCAATATTGATAATATCTAATTAAGAAAACATTTAAATTTATAATATTTTTATTAATTAAAAAAAAAAAAAGAAGAAAGAGAGGAACAAAAAAATAAAACAAGTGGGATATTCGACCCTGTTTTTGTGAAACAAATGCATCGCTCTGATTTGATGGCACTGGCTACAGTTCTTGGTGAGGTCTCAAAGCGTTCATCAGAGATTTTCTGATGAAATTTTACTCTTCCTGGCAATTGTTCATTGTCAAAAAGTGATGACGTGAACACAGCATGACTGTGAAGCAAAGGAACCCCCCCCAGTACCTCACTTTAGGGACTTTATAGACTCTGTGAGAAGCAAAGGGTCCAAAACTATTATACCATTGACCTCCTTCTGACATACAATGATGTATCCTCACAACAGCATCACTCTCTTGGTGGCCTGGTTGGGCCTCACAGCTCCATCATAACACAGCCAACTCTGCCTGTGCTGGTGGATCAAAGTCATGGCCTGAAGCAAAGGGACACTGTGCAGCAGATGGAAAAAGGCCACAGGACAGGCAGTTTTCCCAACCACAGTCCACGGGGCACTTACACCGGAGGCTGCTCTTCCCCTGGTACAACAATTCTGGACACAAAATGTCATGAGAAAGGTCTGTTATTGTCTTTTTTTAATCTCATTCTCCTTCAGAACCCCTCAGGGGGAGCGCTAGCACACTGGTATTGCTTCTCCCATTCTTCTGTCATCTGTTGTGTTTCCATGACATGCTTGCCCAGAGGCCATCAGCCTCAGCTGCCAGACCCAACGGCCTCTCTACCTGGCTGGATGTAATGAACTGTGGAGGGAGCACATTTTCAGAGCCTGAGACATTTGGGTTTTACAAAGGAAAGGCAGACTGTCTGAAGGAGTTAATTCAGCAAGAATTGTACACAATGACACAATGGCCTCAGAGAGACAGTGTTTATCAGACCTAGTGCTCATGTCTCAGGTTCTTCTGAGATAAGGAAGATATGGATCCAAACCCTTGCAAAACAGAGAGAGTTGGACCCAGATCATCCACGTTCCAGGAGAGCCTCCGAACACTAGAGTGCTATTCTAGAAGCAGGCAACACCCTAAACCACTACTCTGTGAGAAATCCAAACCTGCCAGCATGGATTACACATGCTTCAAGGGCACCAAACTTCTCTGGAGATCTAGCAGAGATCCAGGAGCTGAGGAGACTCTAGAGTCCAGAAAGACTGAGCTTGTCCACAGCTGTGCCAATCTCTTGGGTAACAAAAATGAAGTACCTCCAGAGTGTATTGATGCTCAGCAGCAGACAACAGACAAGTAGAGAGTTGGAGTGTTAAGCAGCACAATGCTGGATTAATTTCTGCACACATCAAGCTTCAAGCTCCAAAACTTCATTTGAATCTAGTTCTCAACTATGGATCTCTTTCAGGTCCTGCCTTGCTGCTTCCTGGGCTGGATGGTGAAATATTGTGACATTTCTTCCACTCCAAATTTTCTGTGTTCTACAGGAATTCATGGATGTTATTACAAAAATCAAGCTAACAAAAAAAAGAAAAAAATCTGCTCCAAGAAGCATTTTGGCTTTGTAGGTGAAGTTTCAAGGCTGAAATGAGTAAATAGGGGTAATCTTCCAGCTGAGCTGTGTTGTGAGAATGCATGGGCTTGCACATGCATTTTTACTGGAACTGTTGTCATCTTCACTAAATATTTTACTATATTAAAAAACATAACTTGTAAAAGGCTGTCAACAGTAGAAACAATAAATGATTTTTCATGCCTAAGCTGCACTAAGAAAAATTCATTTGTCAGATGCCACACCGTTCTCCTGCTTAGCTGGTTTTGTAAATACAGAGAAACCACATCCTATGTGCACAAGAAAAAATCCCTGAGTCACCTCTCTCTATATTCTGATTCACCTCCCCCTCACTTGATCAGCGACAAGCAGTGGGGCTTTGGATAACCTCTGTCATCCATGGGTTTATGTCATGAGGCATAGATAGCAGAATATAAAGCTTACAAATATAGCACTCTAAAAAAGTATTTATCAACTGTTACTACTGCTTCAATCCAAGTGGTGCCTCGATAAGCTATGCTGAGGCGACGAATATCCGCTTCCTAAGCCCTCTGAGCTCCAGGTGGGTGTGAGGGACTCACACAAGTACAGTGGTTGTGATCTCACTGTCCCTTCCTACAGCAGAAGCTGCAGTGTTCATAGCAACTGGTCCAGCATGGCAACAGCTGGTTAAGATGTGCTGGTGTATTTAACACAAACTTCAGTCCCATCTCTTGATCCTCTGCAGCTGCTCACATCCTCATAAGCAATCTACAGTCCCACAAACAGCTGGGGTGGAATTCCTCTCACCTGACTGAACATAGGTCTCTACATCTAGCTTGGCACTGGGGCCTTTAGGGGAGGCCAAAGAGTCAAGGGTCTACAGCCTTGGAGTCAAGACTGTAGGCTGCATGGTCTGCAAAGATACTGAAGTCAAGAGCAGTCTCTTAGCATCAGCATATGGTTTGGTGACTACAATGGGACATGGGGTACAGGCATTTATTCTGTAAACATCTTAAGTCACAGGAGTTGAACCCTAACCTCGGAAGCCCATGTATCCCAGTTCTGGTAGGAATTAGCACACCAGTGCTCTTAGAGACACTGAATCCCCATAGTCCTGGCTGGGGCCAGCTAACTTGTTTTTTGGGGGTTATGCCCATTAAGGCTGTGGTACGTGAGGGCTGGGTATGAGCTAACCTGGGTGCCAGAAGCAGTGCAGCTATGTGTGCTTTCGTGGGCATGAAATGCCAGTCACAGGGGCATC